AATACTTGGTCCAGAAATTTCTGTAATGCATCCAAAAGCGGTTTTTACGAGTAAAGCCTTGAGTTCTTTAATTTACAGGTCTTCATCTATGATTTCATCTATGAATTCATTAATTGTTAATCAAGGTACCTATTATTTTCAAATTTTAATAAAATATCAATAATGAATTATTATTGATTAATTTTTCTTCAGAATACATATCTAAAGAATTTGAAATTGATATTACAAGGTATTGAAATGAATCGAATTTAATTTTAAATATTTTGTACTCAATTAATATATATTTCTATAATAGTATCCCGTCGACATCAAATCGATACCTGACGCACAACCAATATATTCCAAATTCTTCAGCCGCCGCAAATTCAAGAAAACGTAATATAGAAGAATTAGAAGCGAATACTCAAGTTATTAGTAAGCAAAAGTTATATTAGTATTTTACTATAATGGCTCTATATGATTAAATTTAACGTTGGCATTAATCTAAAAAAAAAGAGAAAATTGAACTTGGGTATAATTCAATGATCAACTACTACCTGATGTAATAACAACATTTTTTTTAACATAATTGTTTATTGCAGTTTCTAAAAAAGGATATCAGAAAAGAATCTAAAGAAGCAAATTTTATTTTGTTTATCATATTATTTGTTTAATAAAGGATTATTAATTAATTAATATTGCTTTAGACAAGTTATATTATTGTTAATCTAAATAAAAGTTCGGCTAACATATTTTCTTATAATTGTTATTAAATATATTAAATCTTTCCTTGTTGCATATTTCAAAAAGGGTGCTATTACGTTTTAAACATAAAACCTTATTCTCCAAATCTAGTGACAAACACGCCTTTTTGCTGAAATATAATTACATGTGTCAAAAAAACAATCGTTCGCTTAACTCTGAAGTCTCTGGAATCATTAATTTAACAAATTGCTAAATTTTGGATTTGTTAAAATAAGATAATATGATTGTAATAATTTAATAAAATATTTAAATAAATATCAGATTACAATTTAGAATTTATCAGAAATTTATTAAAATTAATTTTAGGGAATATTTCACTTATTTGAAAACTTGCCACGACATCAATAAACTAAAATTAACGAACGAATGACTACTATTTTTGGACAATACGATATATGGGAGGTAAGATATTAAAATGATGTTACGGATCATGATTTTCGGTAACGGTACTTGATTTTAATAGCAAATCTCCCATATATATACGGTACGGTTTTTGTTATTTATCATTTATTCAAATTAAAAAAACGATCAATAATTCCTATCATTTTACACGTCTATTTTTTATCTAAAGGTCAGAACATAACGTATTTGAATCGACACATTGAGAACTGAAATGTAGCCTAATATTCAAGAAACTATAGTAATAATTGTAGAACTTAATATTGTATATCTAAATAATTTTTCAATTTTCTCTATTCATGATTAGCTTAAGAGAATTTATATATTTTTCCGCAACTCACAGGAAAAATGCTAAAATTTATTCCAGAAGCATATTTCATATTATACAAGCAAACATTGGTTTAAGGAATTTTGCATATTATAATCCGCAAATTTATTTAGCACTAAAGTATTAACATTAAAAAATCGCAAAGGTCTGGCGAATCGTACCTATCTACCTAGAATAATAAAACAAAAAAACTCAAAATAATTACTACAATCCTAAACCCTAACTATGCAATTAAATCCAAATTACCTGGAAAAGGTATTATTTCGTCAAGATAATTAAGCCAAAAATGATCAAGTAATTCCAAGAAAAATATTAAATTTAATACTAAAATGACGAAGACAATTTAAAAAATATTACTGCTGTAAATACTTGGCAAAAGTTACTAAAGCAAACTTTTTGAAAAAATTGGATATAACTAAATAAATTATGAAAAAATCTAATGAAATATTTTTTCTAAAATAATTCTTCTTTATTGTCCAAAGTATCGTAACAAAAACATTGATTAAAATATATTGTTTGAATATAAAATTGAATTATTTATCTACTTTTAATATAAAATTTATATAAATAATATTTTAAATAAAATTTTGAATTAAAATTTTTTTTATTTAGAGTATTTTCCTTCTCCTAATCCCGTTTTTTCTTCTGTTCATTCTTCAATTCCTCCCGCTATTTCTCTTTCTCCTTCTCTTCCTCTTAAACGAAAATTCTTAATCATATCGTTCTCCTCCTTCCACTTTTAAGTTCATCTCTTTTTCATCCCCTCCATTTCTAACTCTTCTACCCCTTTTACCCTTTCCGTTTTAACCGTCCCTTTATTCATTATCGTCTTCTTAGGTGGTCAGAGCCAGATGGATCTTGATCCACCAGGCATTTTTATTGAAACCCACTTTATCCCTCCTAATCTGTTCTTGTTCTTACATAGCCATTATTATGGTTTATATCCCTTCCACCTCCGTTTTTAACTGGATACCTCCCCTTCTTTTTTGTCGTCTTGACTGGCACTAAAAAAATTAAAATATTAAAAAGTAATTCCCTTTTTAATACATTTCACTAGGGTGTTTATCTTTTGGGTAAGCATGATTACGGTACAAAGGTATCGTATATATCATATGATGTTGGCTGTCCATTTTGCAATAAAATATTACTCCCTTTTGGCCACTTCATTCGTATTTTTTTTTTTAGTCTAGAATTTATTTTTATATTTTATTTTATATAAAGAATATAACTAATTTACACCCGGAGAGCAAGTTAGCAAAATTCTTAACAAATAATAATTTTATTTTATATATATATATTTATATATCTTTATTTACAGACCCCGCAAAAAGTCTCCGAACGCTATTTGGCTCAATATGAAACTTAAAATTTTTAAATTTTGTTAAAATAACTTTATTAACTCTCAAAAAAAAACGAATCGTTCAAAGTAGCTTCTTTTTAATATTACAAAATAATTCTGTCAATTAACGAACAATATAAAGAAAATATTCCCAAACTAATTAAAATAAAAATTTTTGGCGTGTAAACCTTTTTTTTAAAAAAAAAAAAATTAAAGAAAATGGGACAACCTAATAAACTATCCACAGCAATAGAATTATCAATTATAGAATCTCGTCGAACCAACTCATTCAACATATTTTGACATTACAAAGAAACAATTCCTGATAAAGATTGATAATTTTTTTTTCCTTAAATAAAAGTATAAACAACTGATGCCTGCCAAAATACATAATCAAATACCACATGTGGACACAATTTCTTGAAATCTCGCATAACATGACATTATGGAAAATGAAATTTCTCAATTTATTTAAGGCCTTTAACTTAGTAATCAATTCTTTAACTTTTAATATCATTTGATTTAATGGAATTTTTTTTAATATCTTTTCCAAATGGTTTTGATCCCTCTTGCAACATCTCCTTTATGTCTCATTCTATTCATGGTGACTTGTTTAATTTATGATTCGCTTCTCTCTCTCTCTTTTTTTTTTTTAAAAAAAAAATTATTTAAGAATCTTCTTGTGTTTATGTTAATTTCCAGATAGGATTGGAATGGTTCTATTTTTAGTTGAATAAGTAAGCTATAATAAAAAATATATTTTAAAAAACATTTGAATGATGCATTGATCAAAAAAAGCAAATGATGCAACCCTTACCTAATGATCCTAAGGCCATGCAACTTCGATTTTTCGGTTCACGTCACCCGGCCTACTTTTTCAAATTTTAACAAAAAAAAGTTTATATATAAAAAGTTTATCATGTGACTATAAAATGTAATTTATTTATAATTCCTTTCTTACAACTCATTAGTTTCATGCAGCTTCCAAAGCAATACATTATGCTGAAATTTTTTCTCCAACTAATGTTTTGATGGGCTTAACTTCACTTCAAAATCTGCTTCCCACCAGTCAAGTGATAAATATAGAATCGATATATTTTCAAAAAAATCTTTTATTTTTTATTCTTTCTCAACAGGTAAACCTTCCCTATCCTTCAAAAATTTAGAACTATAACTTATTATTACATGTATAATAGGCATTTTGACAGATGATTTGAAATGAAATGTGATTGTCATATGATTAGGCCGGATAACCAACAGTCTTCACAAAATGGGAAAATTGTGTGGCCTTATATTTATCCAACTATGACTTCGTTCTTTGAAAGATCTTCTTGTATGTGGGATTACTATATTTTTTTCTGCATTCTGTCTGCTCTTATTGAGTTTATCCATACTAAGTACGAAACTCACCTTTTCAAAATATTAGGATCAAAAGGTCAATTGTTACAGACTAAAAAGGGATTTTAACAAAGGATTTGGTCCCATGTTGAATATATTTATGACTCCCGTCAACTCCGTACTTTATACCCAAAGATGGAAATTCGTGACAGTGGATACCAAAAAATGATAAGTTCAATTTGTATCTTATTGTATCTTAGGTAATTGCTTTCATGTGTTGATTTTTCAAATATGAAATTCATGAAAATAAGAGCGTTCGTTAACGTCCATATAACGTTTTCCGGACGTTAAGGACATTTAGGCGTCTTTTTTGTAGGTTAAGACATCGTTACAATTTACTCTAAAAAAAATTAAATTGTGCTTAAAAACTGCCTTTTTGTAAAGATCTTATGTTTTCCAGGAAAACTCTATTCCATGTATCATATCTTTTATTTCTTTATTTTTTTTTTTTTTTTTTTTATTAACCAAACTCTAAATCCTTTAACGTTAACGATGATGGTTAAGTATTTATTTCGTTATTAATATTCGATAAAAGAACATTTTGGAAAAGAGTATGTAGCCTTTACAAGTATGATTTAGAAACTATTTCACGATTTTGAAGCGCTAATAATACTTTGATAAACAAAGACAAATAAACTATACTTAATATATGAAAACTCGGTCATGTAACAATTCGAATTGTAAAAACTTGAAGCTATTTTTTATTTAAAAATGTAATAACGTATTATTATTTATCGTTTGCAAAAAAAAGTTTACATCACGCAATATAGTGATGAGAGCTTTAGAACAACTATGAAACAACTCACCGTTCATCATCAACCGATCCAACGAAACGCTGCTGTTCCATATAGTGCTCGAGTCGACCGGAAGATCAGGAGATCTGATTAATATAATTGACTTTTTTGCTTTTACTTTACGTGACTTTAATTTGTAACAAATAAATAATAAGTTAAGTAAACTTATCGAGTACCAATAGTACAACTTCTTCTAGAATACGAAAAAGCATTTCGGAGGTAACAACAAAAATCATCGATTATTAAATATTAACTAATACATTCTTTTTATAAAGCAACAAGTGTTCCAGTAGAACAAGTTTTTTTCTGGCGGAAATGATCTGATATCGACCAAAAGATGTGGTCTTAAAGCTAATATAATTCGCGCGCTAAATAAATAAATTTTTGACAATTTTTTTATTTTCGGCATTAATATTACCCTTGAATTCGGGTTCTGTAATTATTAACGGGTTCGATTTCCAATATGCCTTAAACCCGAACCGACCCACCCAAACATTACGGAGCACTAGTTCCATATAGGTTATATTTCGACAAGATTCCGTTATAGTGGCTGCCTTTACTAAAATTTATTCATGATATATAAGCGGCGTATCATATGTGCATAACAAATTTAGAGTTTCTTGTTTAGTAATACTGTTTGTCGATCCTACCTAATATAGTTAGAAATTTAATTCCATGCCATGCAAGTTTTCGAGTCGGAAATGTTGTGTGTAACATTATTAATATATAAAATGTCTAATTTAGACATTTTTTTTTTTTTTTTATTAAACTTAAATATGGAACTTACTCTTACAAATATTGAAGATGATTTTGATCCAACTCCAAAATTAAAATCCAGTCCTATACCAATTACGTTTATTCCTTTTAAAAATGAGTCTTATTGTCATTGTGGAAATAAATACACTTTTACAAAATTTTACCAATATTACTGTAAAAATAGCTTATCCAAGTATATTAGTTGCATAACTGATAAAAATACGTATTTGGATCTACATATAGTTACAAATGGTACTTATTGTAATAAACATGAAGCTAGGAAAGCGGATTTTTGCACGCAAGACATTCAAAAATGGTGTGAAACTTGCTCAGATATTTTATATTTTAATCAAGTACATAATTATTGTCTTAAAATTAATTTAAAAATATTAGAAAATATTAAGGATTGTAAATTATGTGGGAAGTTGGATTATCATGTGACGTCGATGAAAAACATCGATTCCGATAGGATATGTTTAGATTGTTATAAAATGTCTTACGGATGGGTAGAATCGACTTTAACTAAAAGACTTGTTCCAATTCTTTATTTACCAAGGTGGCATTCAACTAGTATGAAATGCAAAAGTTGTGCAAATTTCATGAAACACGTATCTGATTGTCTCAAATGGTGTGAAATTTGCCAAATAACTTACAATGGATGTAGATATTGTTTAACAATAAACATCATATTTGGAATTACCGACTATTCTCAATGTAGAAAATGCAAAAGAACAACTAAAATTAATATTGAAAGTGGAAACAATTCTATAGATGAGTTTATTTTCAGTACAAAATATAATAGTAATATTCAGATTAATGATGACATAAAAATTAGAAAAATTAGATATATTAATCCAGAATATGTATATGAAACTTTTACGAAAAGAATTTCATCATGTTCTGCAATTGAATGGATTCCATTCTCTGAACTTAGAAATATAAAAAAAATAGCACAAGGGGGATTTGGCATTATTTATAAAGCAAATTATTTAGGTAAAATATCTAAATTTCGTAATAACAGTTCAAACTACGAAAGTAAAGTTGAAACCGTTGCTATAAAAAAGTTTTTAAATTCAATGAATATTAGCCAATCTTTCTTAAATGAGGTAATAATTCAATATTTTATGTTTGAAATGTAATTTTATATAATATAATCTAAAATAATCTAAATGCATTAGTTAAGATCACATCATCATTGTTGTTCTGATCAAGAAGTTAATCGTGTTATGAGATGTTATGGCGTTACAAAAGATCCTGAAACCAATGATTTGATGTTAGTAATGGATTATGCAGGAGGTGATTTACATGATTATTTACAAATAAATTTTACCAAATTAACATGGATAAAAAAATTAGGGATATTATGGCAAATTTTAAATGGGTATTTAAATTTTGTTTTATTTATATTGATTATATTTATTTATATTTTACTTTACTAATTTATTTTAAAATTAGGCTCGAAACTATTCATAATAAAAATCTCATACATCAAGATATGCATAGCGGAAATATGCTATTTGTTGAAGCGTATGATAGAAATTATCAATGGCAAATTAGTGACTTTGGATTATCACGGCCTGCGAATAATACGTCATCAAATGATGAAATATATGGAGTTATACCTTACATAGCACCTGAAGTATTTATTGGCGCTTCATTTTCAAAAGCTTCTGATGTTTATAGCAAGGCTATGATTATGTGGGAATTTACAGCAGGTTGCAAGCCTTATGCTGATGTTGAACATGATCATAAACTTATTTATGATATTTTTGATGGAAAGCGACCTGAAATTACGGAAGATACTCCCGATTGTTATGCTAATTTAATGAAAAGATGTTGGGATCCTGATCATTTAAAAAGACCTCCTATAAAAGAAGTTCGTAAAACTGTTGGTAGTTGGTATTGGTATCGCGGGGATAAATTTGATGAGCAATTTAATCAAGCTGAAAATGAACGACTGGTATTAATTGAATTAGAGAAACTTGGTCCTGAATTTATTAAAAAGCACCCAAAAGCAATTTATACAAGTAGAGCATTTTCTAGATCTTCAATTCAATCACTTATTAAATCACATAATATGAAGCAAGGTATAAATTATAATATAGTAAAAATGTTAATAAAAGTTAATTAGTGTGGGTTTTAATTTTTCCGTTCCTTATTATTTTTTTCTATTTTATGCTAGGATATATTTCGAATGAACATGAATATGATATAAATAATCAAAGGTATGTAAGTTTTAATTACCAAAATGGTGTAACATATAAATAATTTATAAAATATATTTGCAATAATTAGTTCGTTTCTATCAAATAATTCTAATATACTGTCATCTAATACGCGGTATCAAAATGAAGGTACGTTAATATATTATTAAATGGTGAAAATACAGTTCATGGCAATTAAGTTTAAACAATTATTTGTTTATTTTTTGAAATTTTATTCATCAGAATATACTTCTAAAGAATTTGAATTTGATATTTCACGGTATTATAATAAACTAAAATCTTTTATTTGTTTTATAAATAAAGAATTGTTAATATAAAGAAATTTTTGATTATAGCCAACCTGCAATGAATGTAAATTCGACAACTCAAGTTACTTCAAATACTCGACATCAAAGTAGAACTCATACAAGTCTAACAAATTCATCTATTTCATCCGAGAATTCTTCAAGAAAACGTGATATTGAAGAATCAGAAATCAATTCTCACGTTATTAGTAAGTAAGAACTTTATTTATACATATGATTGACTACCATATCAATACTAACGGATTATTTTTTTTTATTAAAATTAAACTTTTTATATAGATAAACATGTTAAAACTGGCGATAATGTACATTAAATTTAGACTTTACAAAATGAGCCTGAATTTATTTTTAATTTACACGTTTAATTTTATATATGTATTTATATATTATCTACTTTAGAATAAAAATCTCTTTCGTTATTTTAGAAAATATTGAATTAGGTTAATCAAAATTATAGAATTTTGCGCGAAATTGTGTAATTAAATAATTTAAAATAACAAAGTTTATTAGCATTGCTTTTTAATAATCTCGTCAAATTAGCACAATAAACTTGTAAGTTTATTTATTAGGACCGGTTTCGCAAGTGAAACAAAGATAGCATGTTACGGATCATATGATTTGATATGTTCGTTTTTAAATCACGTGATCATCCGAACAATTTCATTTATTTTTCATGTCATCATAAAAGTGTATTTCTAATGCGATAGTTATTACCAAATAATTACGTAATTCATTGCATATTAATAATCTTTATATGTTAAACAATAATTTTATCATAGACTACGTCAACTTCCTTTCAAGTTGCTTAGAGTATAATAAATTAGACTAATAGATATCTAGTCGAACGTAAGATTTTTAAAATTTATGAAAAGATTCAGATGAATGATGAAATTTTCTTCTTTTTATTTTTCTATTTTTAAAATTTATTAATTCTTTCTAGACCACTTTGAAATTCAATTTGCGTCCAAGAAAAATGACTGAAGTTAAAGCATATCATAGATTAAACTCAATAACTTTATAATGGACCTCGTTTCTCTAATAAAAAAAAATGGCCTTTATTTCAGTTCACTTTATGAAATGTTAAAGGCTATGTAACTTATTTAATCCATTTCCATTGTAGATGGTCCAAATTCATTTAGTACAATTCCCCTTGGTTCTGAATCTCCACCAGTAGCGTTAAAAGGTACACTTCCTCCACCAGCTGCAAGCATATTAGCTTGCAGAACGTCGTTAGATAAAGTGGTTACTGGATTCGCAGTAGGAATCGGAACTTGCGCTGAAAAATCGGGTGCAGCTGGTTGTTGTTGCGATGTAACACCAATGAAATTTGAAGGCATTTGTAACGGTTGTTGTGTTGACGTAATTTGTGAAATATCTTGTAAAGCTTCACGTTGTGCGATAGCTTGCGCTTGCAAAGCTGCAAAAGCATTAGAGTCTAAAGATTGATTAGTACTTGGAATGCCAAACTGTTGACCAAATTGCATTGAATTCATGTTCGCTGGAATTTGAACAGGAAATTGTTGATTTAGTTGTCCCGGAATGTTGGTTTGTCCAGGTGGTTGTGCTGATACTTGAGCTTGTATAGCTTTTCGCTGGTCCGCTAAGTTTTTTGTTGTATTATCATCGCCATGTCTTTGATCTTTGTTAGCTACTTGATCTTGCACCTCTTGACGTTGAACCGTAGATTTTGTTTGTGAATGTTCGTCGTGATTTGTTTGTTCCTTATTAGTTGCTTGAGCTTGCACCTCTTGACGCACCTCTTGACGCTGAACCGAAGTTTGTTTTTGCGCATGTTCGTCGTGACGTTTTTGGTCGTTATTAGCTGTCTGAGCTTGCTTATCTTGATGCTGTTCCGAAGCTTGTTTTTGTGCATGTTCATCGCGACGTTTTTGATCTGGAGCTTGTTTATTTTGACGATTTTCCGAAGATTGTTTTGGAGTATTTTCGTCGTGATTTTTTGGTTCATTATTTTGCTGCGGTTTTTCGACAGATTTTTGCTCATCTGGCTCGACCAATAAAACCGCTTTTCGTGGTGGACCCGATGGATTTACCAATAAAAATTCCTGCATTTTATCTCTAAATGAACGTGAAGGGAACAAAAGGGAGGAACAGAGGTGCTTATATATAGTAATAAGGATTATATGTTATTTATGTCATCGATCATTTTTGAATGAACCAATAATGATGTATGAATCATATAAAGTTTAGTCTAAAACTTTGATTATCCTAATTAGGTACCGCCCCCATACGAAAAGCAGTCGCACATACATTTTGTTTTCGAAATTTACGAATTACACGATAATGAAATATGACAGATTTCAATCATGTAACGCATTTATAATCACTACATATCACGAATTTTCAACTGAATCCATTACATCAAATTACGTAATTCCTTTCTTGAGGCACGTGCTTAGATTGAAATACAAGAAACTAGACTTGCGGTCGTTAAATAAATTAGTACGTATATAACAAATGAAATTTTTTTTTGTTTAAATTTAAATAAATGAAATTTCTTGGAGGATTCTAATAGATCTCCCAAATTTTATTGGTTGCACATTAATTAATTTAAGTATCGTTTACGATAATAAATTTTTTTTCATATATTTTTCCTTTATGGTTTAAGTATAATTTAATAGTTTTTGTTAACTTAATGATCAAGTATTAGAAACAGAAAAGTATAATAAAGTTAAATATTATATATATTGTGAACATTTCCATAAATAATTTCATTACCTGTATATCAGTTTACATGATTCCTCTTGTTTTATTATAGATGTTTTTTAAATAATATTAAGACGCGATTTTATTTTTTTTTACTTTCAAGGCATAATGTGACACTTTTAAAACGAGCAAAAAATGCGTATGTTAAGTTTTCAGCGGGTATTGAAATTCATACATATTAATTTTTCATGTGACTAGCTTAAATAGTTACGAAGTTGTAAATTTTTTTTTGAATGATACAAAAACATTTCTTTTTTCTTTTTCTTTTTTTTAAAAAATGTTACACAAGTATAAAATTTTGAACCAATCATATTTAAGTAAAGAGTCTATTTTACCATTATAAATAAATTTCGTTCGATATTTATTTTAAGGATAAATGTAACATTGGTAATTAAAAGTTAATTGATGATTTAATGCTTTAAATTAGTTATATTATGAATGTAAATTGAATCATTACATAATTTATTTTTATTACTCGTTATACATTATTTAATAAATTAAAAAAATTATATTTTAATTTTGAAATTATTTATTTAATTAAATTTAAAAGCTTTATTATAAAATAAATAGTAAATTAGATTAAGATATAAACCCTGTAAGCAAATGTAATTCCCTATAATTATCTCACTAGTGTCTTTAACTTTATCTCATATAAAATGGTGTTTATCATAATTTTGATAAATCGTTTTAATATATAAAAGACCGTGCCGGAAGGGATGTGAACTGTCACTATATTGCGTTGACGTGTAGTTCAAATACTATGGACATAATATACTTACCATTTTGTAATTAGCTGATATGTTATAAGACAATAATTAGAGCACGCTATCGATTAAGATTAACCAAAATTGAGCGATTGGATAAAAAATTTAATATGTGATATTCGAAGAATTTGCGTGAAATTTATAATAGTTTAGGAAGCATTATAATCTTCGGCTTACCTATTTAATTTTATAATCAATCGCGACCAAATATTATGGAGGTTACGATATCATAAAATAATTTGTGTAAGTATAAATAATTTCAAAAAAAAAGAATTGTAACTAAGAAATTAATGTAAAAGAAAAAATTTATTTTTTGTAGTATATTTAAATTTTTTCCAGTTTCAGGATCTTTTGATATTAATTTAAAAATTAGTTGTAAAACGAAGGATAATGTAAGTAAATTTATACAAATACAAAACAAATTCAAGAAAATACAAAAATTCTATCTAGTCTAACTGAATCAAAGTCATAAACTTGTCAGAAATTGCAGTTATAGAAATAATCTATCTAAAGTAATTTTATTTAATTATTATATTTCATCATCGTAACAATAAGCCATCGAAGTATTCCAGGGAATACTTCCTTGTAAATGTCGTTATCAAGAGTTCATCTATAGACAAACGAAACGATATACTTCGATTTAGACTTTCGATTGGAATTTTAATATATAATGTCTGTTTTTGATGATTTATTGATTTTTATAGTTTCAATCATTATAGGTTTACACGCAACCTTAATTCTTCTACAGCGGTTCACATCTGACGTTAAACAAACTATTTATTAGATTTATTAATGTAATAGTTCCAGAAGGTATAAGTGTAATTTAAAGAAATGCACCACTTTACTCTTTATTTATTAGCAAATTTTTTTTTTTTTTTGTTTTATGAATAAATTTCTATCCGATAATACATCAAATTATTCTAGTGCTTATCGATATATAATTTATGCCATTAATCCAATTTTATCGCATTTACTTTCGAATTGTACAATAATAATACAACGATGCGTTAAATTTCATGATTATTATAATATTTAAACTTTAATTTTCCGCATGAACAATTTGTATTTAATCTAAAAATTTAAATTATAAACTTCTGCGTCAAAAATTGAATGTAATAATTATTAGTTAATTTGTTGCCGAATGATGATAAATTATTAACTTTATTTTATTGAAAAGCTTGTGTAAATTTAAAACATAATTTTTATGATACATAGTTGTTTCTTTCACCTGGTCATAAATAATGGTCATAAATTGTTTCTGATTCTTCAAGATGATAATGTAATGGGAGTAACTGGCACAAAATATTCAATAATTCTTTATATAAAAAAAAGTAAATGAAAAAAAAAACTTGCACTATGAACACTTTAAAATGTTCTATAGAGCCGTCAAGTCCATCAAAATTTTACTAATTCAATTGACACAACACCATTTTCTTCTGATAATATGCAAACTAAATTACAATTGCTACAATTGTCATTTCAATAATTGTGTCTTTTAATTATAAATGTAAGTTTTCTTAATGTTTATTGTATTATGTATAATCAATTAATATAATATTAATGAACGATTGATAAAATATCACGTTATCATATCGGCAATCGAACAAAGTATCATATATTACTCAATTTTAAAATGAAATTTGATATTTCTACACATGAAATTATCACTATGAAAATCACGAGCGACTATTAGTAAACATGAGATAAATAGAATTACCATCATTTAATACATGGGACAGCGGATTATTTAAGAAACTTCAATCCGGCTTATAAAGTGATTCTTTAATAAATTTATTGAAAAGTAAATTAATATTAATATAATAAATAAATAATAATAATCTATAAATATACAAAAATTACCATTTAATTGTCATTCTTATTTAAAATAAAATCTAAAGAATGTTTGCATATCGTTAATTCAGCAATTTTAATATGCTTGTCTAAATTATTATTTGGAAAAAAATCGTTGTAATTTAAACATTATAAAATCATTACAATTACATAAATCAAAATTTTACTTACTGTTAATTTGAGATTTAGCTTCCAATTCTTCAATGTTACGTTTATTTTTGTTTGCAGCTGAAATAATTATATTTGCATTTGGATGCCGAATATTTGAAGACCTTTGAGTTATTGAATTTTCATTTATTTTAGGTGTGCTATATATATAAATTATTAAAAAAATATGAGAAATTCAATAATTCTATTTTAAATAGCTCCACAATATTATTATTATATTATTAAAATACCTTGGAATATCAAATTCATATTCCTTTGTAATATATTCTAAATCAAATTCAAGGACATTTAGTGAAATGCCTTCATTAATAGATACTCTTATTAGCAGGGTTGGGAAATATGTATGTGCTAGGTAAATTTTGACCTTGTACTTGTACTGTACTGTACAAAATTTTATATTAATTATTATGTGTACTAACTGTACTAAACTGTATTAACTGTGCTAACTGTACTAATTTCCCAACGCTGCTTATAAGTTTATAAATCTAAAGACTTACTATCTGCACTTAATAGTCCATCATAAACTGCATCTGGAAATTGAGTAATGGAAGAAGACTGAAATCTTAAAGATGAGCTAACATTAGATTATTTATTAAATCTCATAAAGTAAATCCTTTCACTAGCGTCAAACACAATACCTATTATCACATATGTCAAATTCAAGTGCTTTGGTAATATATTCTCTGTCAACTTCATCTTCTTGCGAAATATGTCCTAAGGTAATTATATAAATTTATTATCGAATACTATTTGTTAAAGTATCTTTTAAGCAAATATATACCTTGTTTCAAATTTATAGATGAATATTTAGAACAAAACCAAGAAATTAAAGAACCTAAAGCTCTACTTGTATAAATAGCTTTTGGGTGCATTATTGCAAATTTGGGCCCAAGTTTCTCTAGCTTTATTAATTCTAATCGTTTAATATCTGCTTGATTAAACTGTTCACTATTTTTTTGTCTGTGATACCAACTACCAATTGTCTTACGAACTTCTGTTATTGAAGGTCTTTTGGAAGGATCAGAATCCCAACATCTTTTCATTAAGTTAGCATAACACACAGGAGTATCTTTTGTAATTTCAGGTCGTTTCCCAGTGAAAATTTCAATAATAAGATCATTATCATCATGATCAGCATCAGCAAAAGGCTTGCAACCCGTTGTAAATTCCCACATAATCATACCAATACTATAAATATCAGATTCTTTTGAAAATGCAGCGCCATTAAATATTTCTGGTGCAATATAGGGAATTACTCCATATATTTCATGATTCGATGTTTTATTTGCAGGTTGCGATAAACCCAAGTCACCAATTTTCCATTGATATATTGGTCAAATAAAATGTTACCACTATGCATATCTCTATGCGTAAGTTCCTTTTGGTGGACAGTTTCGAGTCTAATTTCAAAAAACAAATATAAATTAGCATTACAATGTGGGAGCGAATTGCTATTAATGTCTATATATTATTTATATCAAACTTCCCGTAAAGCATAAATATATAAATATATACCCATATAAAATCTGCCATAAAATAGATAATTTTTTTTTTGAATTTTTTTCATTCCATGTTAAATCTGTAAAATTACTTTTTAAATAATTATGCAAATCTCCTCCTGACGCATAATTCATTACTAACATATGATCATTTGAAACAGGATCTTTGGTAATGCCATGACATCTCATAACACGATTTACATTTTGATCAGAACAACAATGATGATGCGAACTTAACTAAAATTTGATTATTAATTTAAATTACATTTCAGACTTGGAAACATTATATAATTACCTCATTTATGAAATATTTGCTAATATCCTTTGAATTGGAAAACTTTTTTATCACCACGGTATGTTCTTTCTTATCAATTACATTTTTATTACGATATATAGGTATACCATCTAAATAATTTGCTTTAAAAATCGTGCCAAATCCTCCCTCTGCTATTTTTTCTAAATTTGTGAATTGAGAATATGGAATCCATTTGATTATCGAACGCGAAGGAACAAATTTTTCTGTAAATAATTTATAAATGTTTAATGGATCAGAATCTTTGATATAATTCGTAATCGGATTAACTGGTATATCTTTAATTTTAAATTTAGTACTGTGAATGAATTCATCTATATCATGGTTCCCGGAGCTAATTAGTGTTGTATCAATATCGATTAATGATATTCTTTTGCATTTCCTACATTGAGATTGATCTGTAATTCCAAAAATTATATTGGTTGTTAAACAATATTTACACCCATCATAAATTATATGGCAAAATGAGCACCATTTCTGACAATCAGACAGAATTTCGAGGGACTTTTTACAGACTCTACAATTATAATTGTTACTATCCCACCACGGTAAATATAGTATAGGAATAGGTTTCTTAGTTAAAGTTGATTCTACCTGACCGGTAGAAATTTTATAACAATTTGATCATATCTTGAACGTATTCAAAACGATTGAAGTTTTCTTATGATAAATTAATTTTCCACATAATTTGCAATCCCTGTTACGTTCCAATATTTTTAATTCCTTATCAATCAAATAATTGGAATTTTCTACATATACTTGTTTAAAATATAAAACATCGGAGCAACGTTCACACCATTCTTGAATATAACGCGTGCAGAAATCTATGTTCCTAGTTGCCTCATGTTCATTACATTGAGCGTTATTTCTAACAATAAGAACATCCAAGTAAATATTATTATCAGTTATATGTCCAGTATAATCGGTAAAGCACTTTTTACAATAAGCCTGGTCAAACAAACATGTCAAAGAGTATTCATTGCCACAATGACATTTACTACCAAATGGGTTTTTAGAAATATTGAAAGCAATAAACATAACCGGTTCGGGGCTTGATTTTAAATTTGGAGTCGGATCAAATGAATTTTCAGTATCTGTAATTGAAAGTGTCATTTTGTTTTTTTTTTTTGATGAAAATATGAAATCTATGACTCACGGTATTTATTAAAAAAAAATTCGGATTTGAAACAGATTTAGTTTTTCGTGGAATTCTTCATAGAATATGATTTATGATTCTAGAAATTGACATTTTGCTCTTTTAAGAATTTCTTCGGTTTTCTAATTTAATTGAATTCCGCTGATAAACAAATTATTCTTATTTTATGACAATTTTTTGTGGATGGTATGATCATAAAAATTGTGTAACTTATATAGATAAGTTTAACGTTAAAGAAAGAATTTCCGAAAAAATTGTTTATTTCTTTTGTTAATCTTCCTTTTATTGCAAAAACGCCAAGATGGGAGCTAAGCTATTACATAAGAAATTGATTTTAGTAAATGATGATTTATTTATTTTGTGTAATCATCCACGATGCCACTTCTGTAAATAGTTATATGCTTGCTATTCTACCTTTTGATCTTGTGTTATGCGATACATCATTTGCGGATATGGGGGTGTAGTTTTCCCGAAATCCGCTACTATTAAAATCACCCTACGAATCGTTAAACTAATTTTATTAGGAAATTTTTGAAATACAAATGTTTAATAAAATATCTTTTATCAATTATAAGAGAAAAGTCAATTTTTAAAAATTACATTAGTCTATAACCTGATTTTAATAGCTTATCTCTAACATAAAATATGAATAACCATTCCATTTTTTTTTTTTTTTTTTTTACACAATTTATAGTAACGCAGACAAAATAACTTTTTAAAAAAAAATTTTTTACACAAAGGATATATTTAGCTTATAACTTGCTTTAATTATACTATAACTTAATTCTGAAATTTCTCGTTTCAACTTCAATGATTAAATATTATCGTCAACTACTTCTCAAATTCGTCTAGAATTTGACTTAAATTTTTGGAAAGTGTCCAGTTTCAACGTCTGGTCCTATTATTTTAAATGTATTTTATTATTTTTTTTTTTTAAAAAATCCAGTTTTTGAAAAAAGTTGAAAAATTAAATTATTTGTTCATAGTGCCGATCAGCCTCAGGGAATCATTTTTTTTTTTTTTTTTTTTTTTTTTTTTTAAAAAAAAAATAGTAACACTTGATGTAAATAGAAATATAAAGAATTCTAGGGATTTACCAGTTCGATTCTGGGAATGAATTTCATAGGATAGGGGCTTGTTTCCGGGTACAATGGCATATAGGACATACGAGCCTTAGTCGGGATGCTCGGGCGACCACTAGAACATTAAAAAAAAAATATATATAAAGAATTCTAGAATTTGAAATTGGAACCGATAAAGAGTCTTCTTAAGAATTCCATAGGATAAAGTAATTCCGAAATTTGTGTAATATTAAATAAATATAAATATCGTCAAAATTCCAATTTTATATATCTTTTCAAAATACTCAAGATGAAGCTTACTGAAAATTCTTTAGATCAAACTCTAAAATTAAAATCCAGTCCTGTGCCAATTACATTTATTCCATTTAAATACAAGTTTAGTGACAAATGTCATTGTGGAAATGGATACTCTTTTACACGTTTATTCCAACAAGAATATTGTAAAAATTGCTTATCCAAGTATATTAATTCTATAAATGATAATAATACGTATTTGGATGTACTTATAGGAACAAATAATGTTCATTGTAAAAGACATGAAGTTAGGAATGCGGATTTTTGCAAACAAAGCATTCATGATTGGTGTGAAAGTTGCTCCGATGTATTAAATTTCAAACAAATATACACATGGCATAGTTTTTATTTGCGCGAAGTAAAATTTAAAAAAATAATGAAAAATGATATGGATTGTAAATTATGTGGAACATTAGTTTATCAGGGAATTTCCATTTATAGATTTGACTTTAAGATATGTTTTATTTGTTATAAAATTTCTTCTGGTTGGGTAGAATCAACATTATCTAAAAAGCTCATTCCAATTCTTTATTTACCATGGTGGGATGGATTTTATGATTGTAATAATTGTAGAAAAGATCTAGAGACTATATCTGATTGCCAAAAATGGTGCTTGTATTGTCGAGTGATTTATGCTGGATGTAGATATTGCTTAACAACAAATATTATTTTTGGAATTACAGACCAATCTCAATGTAGAAAATGTAAAAGAATATCAAATATCACAATTGATATAAGCAGTGGAAATAGTAATATCGACGAATTTATTAACAATATGACAATTAGAAATGAACTTCAAAATCATCGAATTGCTGAATATATGAATAAAATCGCAAAAGATTCTAATCCATTAAATGTTTATGATTTTATTAGAAGTTTTCAGACATCCCAACATTTAATAATGGAATGGATTCCATCTTCTAGAATCACAAACTTAAAAAAAATAGCAAAAGGGGGGTTCGGTATTATTTACAGAGCAGAATGGGAAGATGGCGCACCAAAATATAAAAATTGAAAATCTACTGATGCTAAAAGTTACAATAAAATTGTTGCTATAAAACGATTTTTATATTCAAAGGATATTAGCAAATATTTCCTAAACGAGGTAAAGATTTGATTCTTTTTATGATTGAAATAATTAATAATTTCAAATAATCTAAAGTATATTATTTTAGTTAAGTTCGCATTATTATTGTACTACTGATCATAAACTTAACCGTGTTATGAGATGTTATGGTGTTACAAAAGATCCTGAAAATAATGATTTTATGTTAGTAATGGATTATGCATAAATATTTACAAAATGAGTTTACACGCTTGACGTGGAATAAAAAAAAATTGGGAATGTTATG